AGAGCGTCGCAGGAAGAACTCCTTCTTCATGTGGACGCTGGGACGACCTCGGTACTGATGAAAGGCACAAACTGTGATGACGGAGTTCAAGGTAAACTACGGCGTTGGATGTTGGTACAGAAGGGATAGAACTCACCTCTTCAGGAATCTAAAATGATTAAAAAAAAAGAGGCAATCACACATTCAAAACTTCAGTCAAAAACACAAGTGTGACGTGTGGATAACACGGTGGTGAACACTGACATCATAGATAGCAAAGCCAATGGTATGCATGTCCTGTCCTTGGCGCCTGTGGCGGCGGCGGTCTTTCTGCATCAGCGCAACCAGGAAGCTGCAGGCGGCTTCATCATCTTCAGGGTCATCATCCTCCTCCAGCAGAGAAATCTTATACTGCGGGTTGATCCAGAACGTGTCTGCAGAGAAGCAGATTGAAAATGTGGTCTGTTGTTGCATTACTCTTTGACAAGTCCTGCGATTTTCAGGTTTTAATCTTTAAATACTGGTTAAACTTTTAATTTACCAACCCAGTCTTCAAGGAATCGTTCTCTAAAACCTACCCACCTGTCACTGAGGATTAATCTGGTAAAGCTGTAAAATCACTGAGCCTAACAGTAGTAAAACAGAACAGTTTACAGTCCCATCTCCCACTGTTTCTCACTGGCGTGGTTCCTGCAGCCCCCGGCGGTGCTGCCCCGTCTCCAGCTTCCGTCAAAGGTTGTAGTCGTCCAGAAGCTGCTGACGTCACTGCTGAGTGCGTCAGGTGTCAAGTTACAAATCTCTAATCTGGAGAACTGTCGCAGGAACTCCTTAAAAGACATCCTGACACAAAAACACAGACACACAAATGTCGTCATCATCATAATTTGATTCTTTCTCATCTACAAACTCTTCATTTACCAAAACTCGCCGTCCTCCATCTTGCACAGCATTTCATCTCTTTGGGAGGGGTCCACAGAATTCCACTCTGCAGAGCTGAAACAGCAGCACACAGTGATGCCCTGTCCTGTCTGTCCTCACCTACAGCTTTATCAAACCAGCAGGGGGCGCTCACCTGTCACTCCAGGCGCCAGTCCACTCTATCTGACCCCAGGGGTTCCTGATGCGAATCAGACGCTCCTGACGTCCACGGTACTCCACCTGCCGTTTACAACCACACAGTAAATTATTGAGTCTCAGAAAAAATTAAAGAAAACAAGCTGTGGGTGGAGCTTACCTCTCTGAGCGCCGTTACTGAGTACGCATGGCCTTTCACCAGCTTCTTGAAGGTCACTGCCTCCATGTCGAAGGCACTAGTAATCTAAAGACAGAGAACACAGTGAAGAATGATGACTAGTTAACTTTGCTTGGTTATAAAAGCATCTGTGATTGTTGAATGATGTTAATAACTAGTTTATCTGATCTAGCAAACTAGTGACTGTTGTTGTGTGGCAGGTATGTTACTGACATCTATGGAGCAGCCCAGCAGAGAGCCTCTCTCCAGAGCTTTGTTGATGATACGATGGAGATCTTTTGGAGCTTTCTTCAGCTCGTACATCTCTGACACGCCACCAGTGAAATCCTCAAAGCCCTCAGTGGTGCTGCCGCCAGACAAAGCCTCATAGGAACCATTCAACCTTGACACAAACCAAATGTTGGTCACCTTAAGAAAACTATCAACAGAAATAATAACAATCAAACATCAGTTTAACTTCTTTTCTTACTTGGCATAAGCCTTCTCCAGGAGAGCGCTCCAGAACTCGCAGCCTTCTGCTGAGTGTACGAACATCAACTCGCCATCTTTGACCGGAAGACGATCATCCACCACCACGTCCACCCATTCCCCAAACTGCCAGAACTACAAAGACAGACACAGGGAGAAGGGATCTAACCTTAGTCTAAGAAGTTTCCTTTTATTAAAACAGACTGTGAAGATGAGGGAGGAGAGTCTCACCTGGAAGTGAAAGATGCCGGCATACTCCTGACTGAAGCTTTGACCATGTGGAACAACTCTGTGCAGCAGATGCTCGTTAAGAGTGAGTGAGCCGATGGCAGCAAGCAGCCAGCAGTCACCTGTGGAGAAAAAAAATATTAAAAAATAAATAATAAAAAATACAAAATTAGCTTAGATTTACTGTGTCCCACAATTTCCACTGAAACATAGCATTTAGCTTAGCCTTCCTCTGAAAAACGTTATTTAGCTTTAATCTTAGCATAGCAATAAAACCGACAACTTCTTAACTAATTAATTATTAGCTTAATGACGTGTGACCCAACAGACCGTAGGGCGGTTGCCAGTTTTGGCGTTGAAGTCTAATAAATCAGCCATGATATCTGTCCAACGCTACTACTGGTATTGTTACTGATTTAATCGAGTTACAGGAAATGCTAAAGCAGTTGGCTGCATTATCGGTCTAATGGTCTGTAGGGAGACGCTAATGCTAAGCTAAGTGCTAACATTAACAATGGAGACAAAAAGGTCAAATTTTAAGTGGCCGCATTTGTCTTTGTCTTCATCTTAACGTAACAATGAAACAGCCAATCACAGAGCAGCACAAAGTCAGCTGTTAATTTACTTTGAATTTTGTATGATGTGTTCTGGTGAAGCAAGGAAAACATGCGTTGTAATTGATCCAATTATTGATCAGTAAAAAGGGAAAAACAGGAAGTGCTGATGTTGATCTTAGCTTTTACCTTAGCATTAGTGTGTCTCAAGGCCACCACTGAAGCTAACAGTAATGATAGCATTTAGCTTAGCATTAGTTTTTCCCCAAAGAGTATCAGTGAATCTTACTTTTACCATTAAATAAGGTATTAGTGTCATCATCCCAGACCAGTAGATGACTCTATGAAGCTTTGTGATATTTATCACCTTATATAACATCAGTTCCTCAGTATTTCGTGCCGTTAGCGCCACAATCTTATCGAGAATGTGTGTCTGTTATCATCATCAGTCTCTTCACTGTTATTATCTCTGTTATCATCATCAGTCTCTTCACTGTTGATGTTATTGTTTATCTTACTCTCTCAACCCTTTCTCTCGTCACTATCAACATAGTCATTATGAGTCACATAATCCTTTTCATTTCTGCTGTAATCATTTGTTATCACTGGTGTGAACTGTTATTATGATTTTCATCACCACAATCATTTATAATCATTATTATCATAATCACTATCATCAGCTCCACAGGACAAAACTCAACACGCTACAGTAAATGTTACATGTTAAATGTTGGCTTCCTCCACGTGTTTGTCTGCCGGGACACACTCCTGCTGAGCTCAACAGTTACTAAGAAGGAAAAGCCCAGTCTGAGAGCAGCAGCACTCAGAGTGGACCTCATTATTGATCAGTAAATGGATGTAAACAGGAAACGTTGTTGTTGACCTTAGCATTCAGATTAGCTTCTATTTATCTTTCTTTCTGTCGGTCAAGTTCAAGATGTGTTCTGTATGTTTTATTATCTTACAATTACTTATGTCTGTCAAGTTCAAGATGTGTTCAGTATGTTTTATTATCTTACAATTACTTAATTGTAGTGGCTACATTTTAAATGGATATATCATTGGTCATTTCTGACAATATTATGTAGAAAATTAGTTATATTTTGTTGAACTTTGTTGAACCCTTTTCCACACACCTCTGGCAATTTTCAGGCTAACGTTTGGTTCTATTCTGCTTTTTTTTTCGTTAGGTTTTGTTTATATTTTAGAATTATTAAATCCGTTGTAATGTCACGTCTTTCCAGCAGATGGAACCACAGCCATTGCCTACCAACTGCAGCTCCACCCACTCAAAGCTGCGTATGGGTGGAGAGAAGACATACTAATCATTCCAGGGTAACCCACTGTTTACAACAGTCTGGTGGAGACACCACCCTGATCACATACTGGTTCTTAGAACCTGTGGGGACACAGTGGTTTCTCAGAACATGACTCAGCCTGTCACACAGTGAACAGGGATTTACAATGACAACTAACTAAACTTGTCTCAATACAAACGCGCTGTGAACTGTAAAGTACCGAGCCCATGTAGCTAAAACACCACCAGCTGACAATCAGTTCCCTTGAATCAGTGATAAACTGGCTCACAGTGATGGTACTGTTTCTGTGGACTGAACATCGGGGGCAGAACAACAAACTAGACACAAAGAACTAGAAATAAAAAAACACCTCTCTGTTAGAGGCTGGATTTGCCGTTTGTCCTAAAGGAAACTAAACTTCCTTGTTTCAGGGTGAGAAAATGAATTTAACAACTGAGCCTAGATCAGCCTGGAACAGAAAGAAAATAAAACTGGCTCACTCACTGACGCAACACCTTCAATCCTCACCCCTTCAGATGTGAACTCCTTATTGTGAGTTTTTTTTTTTCATCTATAACTGGCAAAAGCTAACCACAGTTTGGAGAGTTTAGTAAAGCGTTTGACAAAAATGACCTAAGGTTTGCAGTAAAATAATCAAAGGAGAAACATGGTAAATTTGCTACTCTCCGTTTCCCCCCAATTCACTGATGGTTTGTTCCAGTTATGAAGACAACACTGGTGGAGATGACCACCTATTTACCTAGAGCTCCCTGACAGATGTCGGTCCTGGTGGCTCCGCCCACGATGAACTGAGGATGGTCTGCCAGCTCCTGAAACAGTCAATCACAAACCTGGTCTGTATGGCAGGAGAGTTCTGTCCATAGAACGAGGTTCTTCTGTCTGTTCTTACCATTGGCCTTTTCCACTCCACTCCTCTGGTCTTAGCTGTAGAGGGCGCCAGCTCCTTGAACCCCAAAGACAACGGCTCTGCTGGGAACATGGGGTCCTCAAACAGTGAACCAGATTCCAGGCATTCCTCCTTGAGGGCCTTGAAGTCCTGTTTCAGGTAGTGGACCGCCTGCTGCACAGCACCGAGACCACTGGCCTTCTGCCGGTCCTGTTGGATTCGCACTGACACACCCCCGAACATCCTGAACCAGGAGACGAGACAGACGTTTAGTTAGTTGTAGTTGTAGTCGTTCTCCGACAAAGTGTAACGGGTCCTGACGTTCAATTAAGTGATAAACAAAACATATGGATTTGACAACTTTCTAATGAACTGTGAATTCACCAACATTACTTCTTTATTTGTGCCTACTCATATGTACAAAAACTAAACAATAACAAGAATTATTAGGAAAATAAATGACTGATAACATTTCTTTGTTAATAAGGAAAGAATTAACATTTAAATAATTTAACCTAAAATTATCTTAGCCTGTTTCACAGAGCAGCAACCAACACTGATGCCAGACTAGAAGTTCAGGTTTAGACTATTCAAACATCAAACAACACAACATCATGTCTGAGCTGCTGATGAAGGTGTGGTCACACCAAACAAGACCCAGAGGTTGGTCTGATTAGGGCCCTGACACTGTCAGTGCAGAGACTGGGTTACTGTGTACTGATATTCTCCACCAGGGTTGACACAAAATGGTTCGAAATATTTTGAAAGATCTGACAACTCTGGGTGTCAATAACAATTCAATTATATTATAAAAAGTTGAATCAGTTTCTATATGGATTAAATCAACTGACTAACAGTGTGCATCATGTTATCAACAAAAATAATCACACTTGAAACTGTTATTCTGGGTCGTTAGAATTCTCAGGATATTGATCAGAGTTTTTAAATCATTATAAATGATCTAATTGAGTACTCAGCAGATTATAACTCATCCCAGATTAAAATTACAAACCACATGGTAATTTTAAAATCTCTCAAGCGTCTCGAGAAATTACAACGTAAACATTTTTAATCTGATTAAATACATTTTTTACATTTAAAATGACATATAGTTTCAAATAGAACCTGAATCAAATGAGGAACGTACTGATTGTAAACAGTGTTAAAGAGCGACAGAGTCACAGTTAGTTTGACCAACAGACTATGAAGAGGGAACAAACGGCTCACCTGACTGACTGACTGACTGACTGACTGACTGACTGGTGTTTATAAAGGCAGTGTAAACAAAATTCCTGATCATATCAAATGACTCAGCTGTAGTTCTCACCTGCTCCTGAGGGGAAGAGTGAAAAAAAAAAAAATCAAAGTTTAGTGTTTGTGTCATTCAGGCCAAATACAAACACAAGTGCAAACTAATGTCTGAATTTTTTTTATTTGTTTGTTTGTTTCTTGTTTACTTGATTTACTGTGGAAAATTACCCTTTTACTTAAAATAAATTCCTACCTAACATTCCCCCACTTCAATTGCCAAATTCAGTGTAAATAATAATTGACAGATGAAGCTCTGTGATTGGTCCAAACAATCTAACGTCTTTTCATTCATTTCTGTTGTAACAATGTGAAGACTACTGACGAGACCAGACGAGAACCGGCCAGTTCAGACAAGTACTGTATGGACTCGGATAGACCGGAACCAGAACAGATCAGTACTCACTCTGCCACGTAGTCCTCTGGATGTTGTAGTAATCCTGCGCAGTACTCTGCAGTAATACTCTGTAGCCCTGTGTACAATGGCTGTGCGGAGTATCTGGTGTGTTCTCCCGTGATGATGGATGTTGTGATGGATGCTGCGGTGCAGATCCCAGCACCGCCCAACGGGAGGGGCGGGGCTTCAGCATCAGTTGCAGCAGCAGCAGCAAAACTTGAACGTGTTAAAGAGACAATCGCAGTGAAATCCCGCACTTCGGCGACATGATTTTGTCTTTAATAGTAAATACATTTTTTTAAAAATATATTAAATTAATGCACTTATTATGATAAAGCCAAAAATACTTTTTTTTAATCACCGGGCTAAGTGAAGCTACATGTTTAGCAAAATCAACAGCAAGTTTAATTAGAGCGTAACCAGATTTAAATGTATTAGTATTTGGTTTTTAAAAAAATTGTAAAAAAATGACAACTGTGATATTTTGCTAAACCAACTATTTTGTTTTATATGAAGCAAAAAAAAAAATTAATTAATTAACCACATTTAAGTAAATTTGTGAACAGAACTAATGCCTGGAACTGAAAAAGTTTGTGGATATATTTATTGACTTTATGGAACCAGTCAGGTACAGGTGTAAAGGTAAGAAAAGAACCATCACTTTTGAAATATGATCAAATAGAAGAAGTATCAGTTGTGACAATTGTTAATGGTTTGCAGTCTTAACACTGAGGGTCGGGGTGAAGGTGGAGTCATGGTTCAGATCATGGAAAAGGTCAACCACTGCAGACGAAAAGAACGGCAGATTGTCAGCTACGTAGTCCTGCGCAGACTGGCAGAGTGGTTTGTTTATTTGAACTCACCTGATTAAAGTCCATCTCAATGGAGCCACTGTTGTGAGGGTCCAGCTTCCTGAAGATTTCTGTAGAGAAAGAAGGAACAAAATTAACTAAATTAACAAAACTTTAAAAGTTAGCTTCACCTACGTTTAATTTAATTTAACTACCTCTAGCTGACCTGGCAAACGTAAGCTGTCTTACAAATTAATTTTCATTTTTTAAAATAAATTACTGACAGTGTCTCTTGTCAGATCCTGTAACTAATTCATTGAGTAAAAAAAATGTAAACATTTTTTAGCTGACATCTCTCTGTCCCCCAGTGGCATCATGTCCCACACATTTAAAGCAATAACTACAGAACTTATCATCACGGAAAAATATATATATATAATGAAGTTGTTGTCCCTTTATCCCTACAACTACAGAACTTATCATCACAAAAAGAAAATATAATGAAGTTGTTGTCCCTTTATCCATTTAGCATTTCAAGTCATCAAAACAATTAAATATTGAATAAATCACAGACTTACTGAACATCATCGCCAGTCTCATCAAACATCCCACAAAGTTGTCGAAGTCAATGGTCATGTCCGTATCAGAGTATCGCGCCACCAACAGTTGGTAGATGGTGTTGTTGAGCTTGAACCCTTGAGGAAGATGGGAACAAAACAACACGATTTTATCTTTATTATTAATAACACTGAAGCTAACTGCTACTAGCTAACTACACTGCTAAGTGACCTCTATGCTAAGCTAAGCTAAGCTAGTAAGTGCTTGGCAGTATAACCATTTTTACTATGCTGAGAACTGTACTACACTACTTTTACACAAATTAAAAGAAAACCCAAAAAACCCAATAACAACAATAAAACCAAAACAAACTGTAACTATTTCATGAACTAAAATGACTAAAGTACAGAATGCTAAAACAAACATGGCTGCTCCTCTAAAGGAAGTAACATACCACCGCCTTCATCTGGTTACTGACAGGACAGACAGTCCAGGTGAAGCAGAGGGAAACAAAGAGACACAGAGACAACAGAAGATGAGGAAACTCACATGTGAATCTCTGACACTGCTGTGCAGTTTAGAGCAGGCCTGGTGTTTTAGCAGACTTTGTCAACAATGGCTTTCATGGAGTTTGTTGACAACCACTTTTCACAGATAATTGTAATCAATTGTTTCCTTATTACAGTTGGGTAACAAACGGCACCTAAAGCTATGAACACGAGTTGGGTAACAAACAAAAACAAACAAACGGCACCTAAAGCTATGAACACAGTGTAACATCTGACAGCTGCTGAACAATGGAGGTCTCCTGTGGCTGTGAAAGGCCTAAAACCACAGGGAGGAGCTTCAGTGCAGTGAGTCAAAGGAAACGCTCTGAGTCATGCTGCAAATATTCACACAGACACACACACACACTGACAAGTCTAATTGCACTTCTACAATGGTTTTTAGCTGTGTAATAAAAGATCTGAGAGAAATGACAGATTAAGAAGAAGACAGACGTTTTCAAAACCAGTTTCGCCGCTTTGAAAAGTAACCTCAGGTAAGTTTAAAAGTTAGAGATAGAATTTTTTAGAGTTTTTTCAAACAAGTTGATAAAGTGAGATAATGTTATCATAAACTACTTTAAACAGGCACGACCAGATACAAAAATAACACAAAGTAGATCTAATCATAACACCGTGATTGTGACCAGGCGTGGTTCTAATTCGATGTGTTTTGTTTTCAGGAGTGACCAGGAGGATTCTGCTGATCGGAGTTACAGGTTCTTAGAAAGTCACAGTCACTTTGGCTGTTGTTGTTGACGTCTGCCTCTGACTCAGTGTACACCACAACCAGCCTCACTACATTCAGATGGGTGCGTTTTTGTAAATACATCACATGAAGACGATCCAATCCAGTTCAGACTGGTTCTCCACAATTATATAATAAGGACAAACACACAGAGGAACCAGCTCTTAGGCCTGGACTTCACCTCCCACTTTTACATCTTACCAGTAATGTCGTTCTGGTTAGAGAAACAGGAGACAGTCCTCCCCAGGAAGAGGGGGAGAAAACGTTATTGTTTACCCCTGGGGCACCAGCAACTGGAAACTTCCAACACGCTCCAAGTATTCAACTGAACAAAGTCCTGGACTGGAATCAACAGCTCGGAACTTATTTTGTTGAACAAAATCTCGGTTTGTTATTGAGTCTAATGACTACGTCAGTGTGTCCACTCTGTATTTCACCCAGCAACATGTAAACAGCAGCCCGGTGGTCAGAGGTGCCACTGAGGGACATGCAGACAGGAACAGGAAGTTGACGTAACAGCTCACCTGCATCTTTGAAGGCCACTCTCATCTCAGGCGTGCTCATAGTTCCTGAATTATCCGTATCATTCTGCTTGTAGATAGACTGGGGGGGAAAGGGGAGACATGAGTTTCTACATGAGAGGATGTGATGTCACACAGGTGCAAGACGAGATGATTGGACAGAGCCTCACCAGGTATCTCTGGACCTTCTTCCACAGGGTGGCAAACTCCCCCAGGCCGAGTTTTCCATTTCCGCTGTCCTTCTGACAAGTTAAAGATTTCTGACACATCAAATGACACGGTCACATGACAGCGTTGATGACAGCGTGATTGAAGGATACATCCATTAGGTTAACCATGATCCTGCAGGTCTCCATGCTGAAGCCGTCGGTCTTGATGTCGGTTCCTGTTGAAAACATCGTAGGTATGAATTTAAATGTTTCTGAACTGTCGGGTGGTTGAAGGGTTGTGGTGTGAAATATGTTGATTTACTTTTGGAGACGATTTTGTTCATGATTGTCCTCAGCTCAGTTGCAGAAATCTCCATGTCCTGAAAGACCAATGAGAGCAGATCACACGGTCACGGAGAGTGAAACACATGTAAAGAAGAACTACAAATATAAGAACACAAAAGAAAACGTACGTCTCCAGCAAGTTTGGCGAAGAGGCCTCTGAATGCTGCGTCCACTTCGGAATCAGATACTGTCTCCTTCAAACAAACAGCAAGACAATTTAAATCTGCTGGTGGAACGTTACTAAGTCATTCACTGCCAAATCAGAGCAGAGAATCACAACTCAGGAGGAAACTGAGTCACAGCTTACAAACAGTCAATGACAGCTTACAGTTTAGAAGTCACAAAATCAGATCCTCTGTGTCACAGCCGTCAAACAATTTAGACATTTGTTAAGGGTTCAACGCCTAAAAATATTAAACAACAGCTCGAAGCTTCAGCCCTAAAACGACTGAGTCATAACTTAAATACAGTACTGCTGCATTATACATTAAGATGGCTGAGTGTCAGGTTTCAAGTTGCACAATCTCAATTCTCAAAGTACAGAAGAAAGGTCACAATCACAGCTCTAAAACTATGTCATGCTGCTAAGTCCGTGTCTACAAACTAAGTCTTTAGAGACGGCTCATTTGAATGATTGTTTACTACTTCTTAGTCATATACGACTGCTACTTCTACTGCCAAAAATAATACTCAAAGTATGCATGAGTCACAACTTGCACTGTACTACTGAGTCGTTGTGTAATTCCCAATGTACTTAGTTCATTTAAGTCCATTTAGTCCAAGATGTTAAACTATGTCAGTTTCAAACTACCAGTTCAGTTTATATAGCTGAAAAGGTTGATCTGACTGTTTACCACTGAGTCACTGAACTGAATCATTGTCCTGATAAACTGCTGAGTCACGACTACCTGCCTACAGTTACTAGGTCAAACTCAGACCGTGTGGGTTTTACCACTGAGTCACATCAGATCTGATCATTAATACTCACGTCTTCAAGATCAGCCTCAACTGGGTCGTCACAGGGTCTGAGGGAGAACAGAGGCTGCATTAAAATCACACACAGACACAGTTCTGGTCTGTGGACCCAGATGGATATGAACGGTGCAGCATCCATATGAACACAGTGACCAGTAACTCACTGTGTCTCTGACTGCTTCTCAGAGAAGACACGGATGCAGAAATCTCCATTCAGGTGTGGTTCAAAGGTGGATGGCACAATCAGGTACTCCCCGGGCGGCAGCCTGAAGCGGGTGCTGACCTCACGTAGGTTAATGAAAGTTTCTGACTTTGCCGTCTGAGCGTGTGTCAGGAAGAAGTTTTTGTCCAGGTGCACTTCTCGCTGCCCATGGAACTGAAAGGTAAAGGTAAAAGGAAAAGAGCTTTTTTGAAGAAAATATAAACGCTGTGACCCAGGTTACAATCTGCAGAATCCAAAATAAAAACTTCTGATAAACAAGGTCTAAACTTTGTGCTGTTAAATCCCGAGAACCACAATTTAAAATGTGCCGATTCATTTTTTTATGAACTGCAAGAATGCAGTTTGAAAGCATCATCATGTCTCAGTACGACCTGTTGACTCCTGAATGGAATCCACGGCTCACCTGTTGAGGAAGCTGGAAAACACAGAGCAGGAACAGTGTAAATGTTGGAGTCCATGTTGTGTTTCCATTTGTTACAGTTAAACCTGACTGGGTTCTAACCTCGTAAATGGCGAACCCAACGGTGTGCATGTCCTCGCCCTGTTTCCGCAAACGTCTGCGGTTCTTCTGGATGAGTCCGACTACAAAGCTACAGCCGTTCACTCCGTCATCAGGGTCGTCGTCCTCCTCGTCCAGTTTGATCACAAACTGAGGATTCATCCAGAACGTGTCTGAGATCCACAGAGATCACGTGGTCAGTGCATCAGGAGTGATTCATGCTGCTACTGTGACGCCGTCCTCAGGTGAACATTTGCCCTCTGATAAAAGTTGCTAATGCTAACATCATGTGGTGTGTGCACTTACAAGGGTGATTCCTGCAGCCACCGGCCGTCGAGCCACGCCTCCAGGAGCTGTCAAACTTGTTGACGCTCCAGTGTTTGACCGAGTCGTCCGTAATGGCATCAGGAGTCAGCGTGCAAACCTCAACGCGAGAATAGTTACGGATGAAGTCGTTGTAGGACATCCTGCAAGACAAAACCAGAAGAATCTATATCTCTAAAGAACTTAGAACTTTACCATGTAAACATCTGTGATCGGTTGTTGTGTTTACCAGAACTCTCCATCTTCTGCGTTAGCATTAGGGCACTCCCCCTGTACGTTGTTCCACTCAGATGACCTGTGTGAAGCAGAGGATTACAAACACTTGACTCACATTTCACATCATGTGTTAAAGCTGAATGGCAACTAATAATTCTGGTAACTGGAGTCTCGACTGTCCCGCCATCGTTCGTAGATTTAAATGAATCGACTGTTGAAACCCAACCCTGCTAATAAGGATGAATGTTTTGGTACTGTTTACTTCAGTCGTGAGTGAGTTCGGGACAGTTGTCATGTTGTGTTTGGGTGCTTTGGTTTATTTCGGGTGTTTTCTCACCAGCTGAGGGATTCAATCTGACCCAGTTGATGAAATTTGTAAGTGAAAAAACGCCCAAACACTTCATGTTCGTGATGTTTTGTCAAATTATGTTTATATTAAATCTGACTCCAGATCAGATTTGTCCTCTCCTCGAGCGTTGGGTTCTGTGTTAGCGTTGGGTTGTGTTTATTAGCGTGGTAACTTTCTGGATACTTTGGTCATGTTTAACGTCGGTTTTGATGGTTTGGTTTTGGGTTGCTGTGATTGCATTTAGCATAAAGACTGTGTTTGGATGTGCATGTTTAAATTACCCATCACTCCATGCTCCGGTCCACTCCACCTGACCCCATGGGTTTCTCATTCTCACCAACTTTTCCTGCCGCCCACGGTAGTTCACCTGGAAACAGTATACCGTACGTCACCATCTCTCCTCATTCATCACACTGATGGGTATTTTTGGTATTATTTTATATTACCTCGGCAGCACCGGTCAGTGAGTAGGCGTGGCCTTTAACCAGTTTCTGACGAGTGACAGCTTCAGAGTCTGCGGCACTGGTGATCTACAGAAAAAGAGTACGTAAACATCTGTGTGGTCACCGTGAAGGTTGATGGTTTGTCCCCCAGACTCACATCGATGGAGCAGCCCAGCAGGGCTCCTGCATCCAGGGCCTTCTTGATGATGTAGAACAGGTTGGAGGGGGGGTGTTGGAGGTCAAAGTTCTCTGCAATTCCTCCAGTGAAATCCTCAAAGCCCTCTGTGGTGGAACCACCAGACAGGGCCTCGTAGCAGCCATTGACTCTGAGGTGGAAACAAGACGGAGAATAACTGAACTGAGGAGCAAGAACATCCTCCAGGGCCGTGGAGGGTGGGGTAAAATGGATGGGGTAAATGCAGTAGAGAAATGTCTGTTTATGTACAATAACAATGAAATATTCTTCTTCTCACTTGGCATAGGCCTTCTCCAGGAGAGCACTCCAGAACTCCCTCCCCTCCGCCGAGTGGACGAACATCAGTTCACCATCTTTGACTGGGAGACGGTCATCAATCACCACATCCACCCACTCTCCAAACTGCCAGAACTGCAGATACAATTACATATAAGTGGCTTTTTGGTTGTAATGTGGACGTCTACCTTTAGATGTAGATGAATCGTTACAACCCAATGATTGGATTTTACAATAATCCAAACGGCGAGGACACAAAACCTAAAGAACCTTTCTAGAACCCTATTAGAACATCCCCATATCTTCTCTGTTCTTTAAAACAACGTGTGATATTGTCTTTCTTTTTAGAAGGTCCTCTAAAGCTCTTCAGAAAGTCTTCCAGTACCATTCTTCACAGCTTATTTTAAACTTTCAAAGTTTCCTTGGATTTATTTTAAGACGTCACTTTAGAACCCCTCTAGAACCTTTTAGTACTTCTGTAAAACATGTCTTCTAGGAAACTAGGGATGTATTGATACACTCAACTGACAATGAGATTAAAAACGGGCGACAACCAATGTTTTTAGAATACAGAGAATAGAATAGTTTTTTATTTCAATGTAAAATTTCAAGAATGGCTGTTCCAAATGTCTATTGAAGTTCTGGAACTCTTTCTGAACAATTTCTCATAACAAAATGACTTTTTTAAAACCATTCTAAAAAATACTTTTTTGGAACTTTTTGGGATCAGTTTCTTATAACACACGTACCTGAAAGTGAAAGATTCCAGCGTAATCGCTCCCAAATCCCTGGTCGGTGGGAACAACCCGGGCCATCACATATTCATTCAGGGTCAGAGAAGCAATGGCAGCCAACAGCCAGCAGTCACCTGGACATGAAGCAGAGGGACCGACAGTCTGTTAGTCGGTTGTTGTCAGTAGCTGATAAACATCTACAGATGATTAAAGATTAAAACAGAAGAAACACGTGTGTTTGTTTTGGATGCTGAGGTTTTTGATACCACTGAAGTTTCTGACATTTTTTTCAAGGCTTTTCTCTGCTACTGTACATCAAGACAGACTCTTATTTGCTGTATCTTTTACCACTTCCTTCCTCTGTCAAAAAAATGAAACTAGATTTTTCAGACCACCACCCCCATCTTTTGTCTGGTTCTGTATTTTGGCAGTAATTTGCCACCCACTCCCTTCCTCTCTTGGTTGTTTTTTTTTTTTTCAGTCCGGCTGATTTGCACACTGAAGTCACACCCACAATTACATTGTTTACATTTCATGACAACACTGGGATTTACTTGTCCCCGCGGCTGCAGAACAGTTGCTCTATAAGTCCGTGTGTAGAGTGACAGAATTGAAGGACAGTGTTTAGAGCACGGTGTGTTCAGATGTAGTCAGGCATTCTTTAGGTTTGGTCAGAGACACCGTGACTCTGTTGTCACGTCATGTTTGACATCAATCTGACAGTTGGAGTGTGATCTGGGACAGTTTTTGTTTCAGTCACTGGTAGTCTTCGGTGTGTCTTACCTACAGTATCAGAAACGGTCTAAAAGTCTACGTTATGTTCACTGTTTAACTGTTTAATGAAACTGTGTGGTGTGTTCAGGGACTGTGTGGAAGTCTGTAACGTGTGGTGGTACAACCTGTGGTCTGTTTGAAACTTCTTTTCTGTTTCTTTCAGAGACATTTTTGCTGCTTCTAAATGCACACTTTGTTTGCTTTTAGACCTGTCTCCCGTCTGTGTGTGAGACAGGATGTCTCACCGCCGTCTTCCATATCTTTGCCTCTGTTCAGCTAATCAAGTCGGACTGTGGTAAACCCCATTATCACAGCTGATCCACCCTCAGTTTTCTTCACTCCTTCCTGCATTAGCATTCACATGTCTCTACTCGCACTGCATGTCTGACATGACAGACCTATCTGACAGACGGTGGTGTGTTCAATGACAGTCTGGCAGTTTGTGTTGCCTTCATAGAAACAGAGTTCATATTATATTAAGTTCAGCTCTATCTGCCTGAGGTGTATTTAAATACACACGGTGATGTGTTCAGGAAATAACACTTGGTGGTGTGTTCAGGGAGAGTCAGGGAAACTCACCCAGAGCTCCCTGGCAAATGTCTGTCCTGGTGGCTCCACCCAAGATGAACTCAGGGTTTGACACGAGTTCCTGATGAACAACAGAAAAAAACAAGAGACTGAAGTGTACAAGGCCACAGACCACATGAACGACGCCAACAGAACTCGACACAAAGAGACAAAATGTGAAGCAGCTTTGAGATAATTAAAGATGTTCTTCATTTCTTTTAAAGTAGACACACTCAGATGTTATCCTCTGCTCAACTTCCTTATTTTTTTTCCACCAAAACTCACTGACACATTTGCTCGAGACTCAGAAAAGTACACACGTACAGTGTTGTGTTTACCGACACGCACACGCACACACACTGTAAACATACATATTTAATTTCTATCCCTGCAGCAGCCTATGAAGGACTGTCGGTGCCACAGGACGCCCATTCCCAGAGTAGAGTCTTAGGTATTGACTCACACTCATGGTTCTCCACCAAAGTCCACCCTGTGACTCAGATCACAGCTCATTCTAACCACAGTTCAGAAATGTAGTTTGAAATCACTCTGATATTGATCCACTGCTGCGTTCACCAGCAACTGTAAGACTAAGTCTGTTAAAGTGTTTTTGTAAAATAGCAAAAAAAAAAAAAAAAATAGAATAAATAGAAATTCTAATTGTCTATCTTAAAGCAACTCTTAAAATGAATAAAATAGTTTAGCTTTAACTTTAACCAATACTAAAAAGTCTAAGAAAAACAATAAAGTGTTTATGAAAAGCTAAAAAAAAAAAAAAAAAAAAATCTAGAGGGCCTCTACATTGCGCAAGATAGCAACCTAGTTCAAACTATCCAAATATATCACACTGAGAAACAGACAAAAAATAAACTGCAAAATAGCAACAAAAAAAAAACAAAAAAAAAACGACTTCACTTAATGGAACTCTGGAGACTCCTGTCAGATGACGTCCACTTGTAGTTTTATCAGTAATACATTGCACAACAAAGTGACCACATATTGTCCACATCTACAAATCTCAGTGTTGACTTCACAGTTTTTTTAACCACAGTTTTTTCGTAGTTTTCCTTTGGTTGTAACATAAGGACATTTGTTTTGTGGCACTAATTATTCTCCATACAGCCCCAGGTACTCTGCCAACGCCTTCCCCCCCGTAATAAATCCCCCCTCCCGCACCGCATTAAACCACAGCTACCCCGCCCATAATCCCTGGCCGAGACGTTTTCCCCGTGGTCCGGTTCTTACCGTGGGTCTCTTCCAGGTGACTCCTCTGATCTTGAATGAGTTGCGGCCCAGTTCTTTGAAGCCCAGAGATTCGGGCACGGTGGGGAACATCGGGTCGCAGAAGAGTTTTCCCGAGGATTGGCATTGAGCCCGCAGAGTCCCAAAGTCCTGGTTTAGGTACCGGATCGCCTTGGCGTTGGTGCCAAAGCCAGCGGCCTCGGCTCGCTTTTTGGCCAAGGTAGACGCGACACCGGACATGATGAAGGAAGAAAGTTCTGCAGAGAAAAGTTTTACTGAGAGACGATTTTCAGTGAAGTTCAGTCAGACGTCCTCCCATCAGAGGAGGAGTCTCTCTCCCTCTTTCTTCCTCTCACTCTCTCTCTCTCTCTGTTTATAGCTATTTGAACAAATCTCTGGTGGACTAAACTACGTGGACTTTATTAACGTTCTGTTGCTTCTTTAAATGTATCAGTTGTTACCGATTGTCTGTGTCTTTAATTTATTTACATGTAACTTTAATGTTGTGACGTTCAAATTGAACGCGGAAAAGTTTATACCGTTTTACTAGTGTTGACTGACAGAACTCAGCGGGGACGCCAGAGGGCGACAGAGGTCCGTATTGGCGCATCTGGACCCAGGTGGAATGTGGAAGACGGATGTAATGAGGTTGACAGAGCTATCACACCGCCGTCAGACTGTGTTGTGGCTGTTGTTAGACAGTTGTTAGGTTGTCACTCACTCTACAGTCATACAGACTGTTGCCAGACTTTTTTTTTTTGTTACTTCTATCAGATTTATTTCGTTATCACTTTTCCATGAGTATGTTTATTTTTCGGTATGGCTGCTATGTAAACAGTTATTACAACTGTTATCTACAGAATCTGTTGCCAGGCAGCTTTCTGACTCTTATCAAACTGTTGTTGTTTTTATCATGTTGTTGGAAGATTTTGTTTTTCAAGTAAGTACGATTTTTAGATATTCATCGTATCGGTGTTGTTTAACCCTATCCCTTTAGCAGATTTCGATCTGTCCTTAGATTATTGTCAAGACAAAATTTAATGTGTCTGGAGGCTCAGTACAAGGTTCTGGAAGTGTTGACGTCACAGTTGTGTTTCTACTACCTACTAAAATTGTCCTAGTGCTTTAGTCAATAGCCCCAATCCAATCATGTAAAGCCATCTTTTGCCTCGGGGTGGCAGCAGTGAGTCCTCGTCACTGACATAAGGGGTCGGGCAGCAACTACAGCCAGTCCCTAAGTTAAATGTGGAGTTCAGAGGAGCGGCATTTACTCAGCAAACACCGCCCCTGCCAGGCCGCACCTGGAAATCAAACAAATTGACTCTGCATGTTTTCCCTAATGCACCGGCAGGTCATGCTACTTTCATTTCCTGTTTCTGACACCATCATCGTCATGGTCACAACAACAGCAACTGCAATTGTATTTTCTTCAAACAAATTGAAACACAGTGACATATATCTGAGAAAAACGATGGGAGGAAAGAATGAGCAACGCTCAAAGAATCTGTCTGTATAAATAACTTAATAAAGAAAGGGAGGAAGGGCGGGGTTTGGATGTTTTGTGTATGAGCGTGTGATTTTCCAAAGGATGCCAACATGTCAGACTTCAGAGTTAAAGCCTTCACTCCTCCACTTACATTCAAGGAAATTTTGAACTTGGCTTCTCTTTTTTTTTTCAATATCGCGAAACATGTACAAAGTAAAATAATGTGTAACAACGTGTAGTGATGCTATTTTGAATATTACAGGGAGTATTTTCACCGAACATATAGATAGAACTTTATTAATCTCTTGGGAATTCCCTTTCCTTAATTTAAATGACTACGCTGTGTGGGGGTGGGGGGTTTTATCACTGGATTTTGTGTTGTGAGTCACTATGACTTCAGTTGAAAAAAAAAACGAAAAAATGAGACTTTACGAACTGTAATTTTACACCATATCTATCTATCTATCTGGCTATTTATGTAGCTAGCTAGCTTGCTAGCTAGCCAGCTAATGTCATCATAAGTTTATAAAACTCAACGTTTGAGTGTTTCCTGCCTTACCCCGCTGTAAGACGATGTTTCCAACAGGAACCAGAAGTCTCTCCGTCCTCTATCTGCGGATAAAATCAACATTTTAGCCCAAAGTTTAAAGAAACAAAGAAACATCAGTAGTTCAGATACGTTTCTACTAGTTTAACCTTTCATTTTATCGCATCAATGCATTTCTCCCACATGCCGCCAAAGTGAACCGCTGTTATATTTGGGACCAGGTGGAAAAGGACTCTGTCATCAAGGATGTGCAGCTGATGGATACATTTAATTAAATTCACGTTCATATTAATGTCTTAAAGAAATCACTGATTTAACAAAGGGGGGAGGGAAGTTACATTCCAATCTGTACTGGAAATACAGGATCTACCTAACAAAATACGTAGATAGTTTGTCGTTAAATGCTTTTATTTTGAAGGAATTCCGAGAAAGTCTCATCTTTCTGTCTGCGCTCAGGTGAGTTCGAACAACCTGGAGATCCGGACACACCTGTGTCCCTTGCTGACTCCCATTTTGTCACCCGCGTACTCACGCGTCTCCTCACCTGTCCTCCCTCACAATATCTCCCCCGTCTCTCTAACTGGCAATATCATGGCTGGCATTGCATCCAGGCTGCAGCACAACCGTGACAGGGACCACGGTATTGGTACCAACAGCCAGGCCATCAGTTACCTGAACCAGGACTACGAGACTCTGCGGCAGCACTGCCTTGAGAGCGGACGGCTTTTCTACGACGATACGTTCCCGGCTGAGATCTCCTCCTTGGGATTCAAAGAGCTGGGTCCCGGCTCATACAAGACCCGCGGGGTGACCTGGAAAAGACCCACGGTCAGTAGAATTATTACTATTATTATTATTTTCTTGTTCACAGTGGTTCGGTTCAGTTCAGTGTCGCTTCTTTAGAGTTGACATTGAAAGACATTTTAAAAACTCTCGATTTTACCGGTGCAATTTAAAAGAAAGACCTTTTTCAAAGAAAAGTTTTTAATATTGAATTGATGTGAAAAATAAAATCCTACAGTTGAATTCCCCACGTTTAAAAACTACAGAATGTGAAATAAACACCTGTTTAAAGAGATTTGAAACATGAGGATTTGTAAATGAAACGATTTAATGTGACAGTTGAAACTGCTGTTATGTGTTTGTGTTTTGAACTCAACCAGCTTATCTCCAGAAAGCCTAAATTCATTTAGCTACGCTGACAGGTTATACCAGTTTAGCTCGTCTGTGCCAACTCTAACCACAACCACTGAAAAAAAAAGAAAGAACCAAGAGTAAAAATACCAGACAAATATGCCGGAGGTGTGTCCAAGTTTAGTACTCTGCTGCAGATCCATGTTGCATGTCCAGGTCTAGGCTGTAAACACTGTTCTGTTAGAGGACAGGGAGAAAAAGCAGCTGATTATTTATATATATATTTTTTTTTTTCTGTGCAGGAGCTGACCTCTAATCCTGAGTTCATTGTGTCTGGAGCCACAAGGACGGACATTTGTCAGGGAGCGTTAGGTAAGAACCAAGACCACAAGTACAAATGGGACACCTACAAAAACAAAGACACATCTGTCCACAGAGACAGAGGCCAACCTTCATACATAAATAATAGATGTGAAGTACAGTATATGTGCCATGGTCAAGTCTTACATAATAAAGACGATCCACAGGGACACAGGCGAGGACAATGTGGACAAATAAAAACAGGAAAAGTAATTTCCTTTGGTTTCACTTCCAGCTGCAAACAATGTTTAATCAGTTCTATGTTGAATAGTTAGTCGTGTATAAAGACAAAATAAGTGGGAAAAAAGACCCTCCCCCCAAAAGTCTCTCTAAATACAAGTGACATCTGAGTGTTAGCACAGACAAAGATATAAATGAGCTATTTATCAAATTTATTATGAAGTTGTTAAAAGTAAAAATGGAATTAGCTTAGCATAAGATAATGTCTGACTAACATTTTCACAGACTAATATAAAGACAAAAAAAAAATCGCAAAAAGGCATCGTCTAATTAGGCTAACAATACTGTATGAATAGCCTAACCTGACAGAATAATAATAATAGAATTAGTTTGTAATACTAATATAATTGCGTCACATCACAGTCGTCATACCAATATGTTTAGATAGCAGTTCACATTGTGATAAAATACTTATTCAAATGATCAGTGATAACCTGACTGTAATTCCAGGTCTGTCTGGTTTTCACTGCCACTGACACCTGCTGCGATACGGAATCGATCTGTGTCACTGGAGCGCTTATGGAAAATTCCATTCTTGTGTGTGCGTGATTGTGGCTGTGTTTTCATGTTCGTGTGTGCGTTCAGGTGTGTCACCTGAGGTGTGAGACACATTTAACCGTCACGTGGGCGTGGCCTCTAGCCTTGTAGCTCTGTAGTTTCCATGGAAACAGTATCTATGGAAACTGTGGAGCCACACCTGAGGGGTGTCACCAAACAGGCTGCCAACCAACAGACAGGCCACACCCCTTTATTAAAAGGACATTCCTTGGGGATTTTTTGTCCTCTAGCAAACAGGCGATACAACAACAAACAACGAAGAAGGACTTGTGACTAAAAGTCCTGACTTGCGAACAATGAGTCAAACTAGTCTAAGGAAACTACGGAGCTATGGCTCAATTATTTTCTTCTGTGAATCCATTCCCTGCAGATTCAAACTGCTCAGCAACTTGAACTCAGATTTAAAATTTTGTGAACGTAACTTGAACCAATCCTCCGACCAGCTCGTTCTTATTTTTGAAGGGACCACCTCGGTCTGACACACACGTCTGTGGTTATGTAAGACTAAGCCCCGCCCCCTGCCTCCCTGTTTATAGGTGACTGCTGGCTGCTAGCCGCCATTGCCTCTCTGACCCTAAATGAAGAAGTTCTGGCTCGGGTTGTTCCACATGGACAAAGCTTCACAGATGGAGAGTACGCTGGGATCTTTCATTTCCAGGTACATCGACAGGACAGTACTGTAGTACTGAAAGATGGAGAAGTTCACAGTATCAGTTGACTCCTCTTCCTCCCTCTCTGTCTGTAGTTCTGGCAGTTTGGTGAGTGGGTGGACGTGGTGGTGGACGACCGTCTTCCGGTCAGGGACGACGAGCTGTTGTTCGTCCACTCAGCGGAGGGGTCGGAGTTCTGGAGTGCTCTGCTGGAGAAGGCCTACGCCAAGTGAGTTCCTCTCTTGTTCACAAAGGTCAAGGGGTCCCCTAAGGACACTTGATGGTCCTCATCTGCGTCTCTGTGTCTGTCCTTTGAGCCTTTGTCCTCAGGCACCATAAACCACTTCTCTGTTCCAGGGTAAACGGCTCGTATGAGGCTCTCTCTGGAGGATCCACCACTGAGGGTTTTGAAGACTTTACTGGAGGAATAGCGGAGATGCACGACCTGGCACGCCCGGATCCACACTTGTTCCACATCCTGAAGAAAGCTTTGGACCGGGGTTCTTTGATGGGCTGCTCCATTGATGTGAGACTCTCTCCAAAAGTCTGACTCCAGAACAAACACGTTGCATTAGGAATTAGGATTTAAGTGTGCGCTTGAATTTGATTGTCACTTGGCACTCGCTAACTTTTGACATTGTATATCGAGCGGACAATTAGCTTCGTTTTCTATGGATTCCACTCGGCGTCAACGACTGTTGTGTGTTTTTCAGATCACGAGCTCAGCTGATTCTGAGGCCGTCACGTCCAGGAAGCTGGTGAAAGGCCACGCCTACTCAGTGACAGCTGTAGCTGAGGTAGGCCTCATCCACTGCCTGTTTGTTCAGGTGGTGGATTTGTTTACCTGGAGAACTTATTATCCAATCAAATATCTCCATGGCTGTCTGTGTGTGACGTGTGTGTGGCTGCAGGTGGAGTACAGGGGGGAGATGGTGAAACTGATCCGAATCAGGAATCCCTGGGGTCAGGTGGAGTGGACTGGAAGCTGGAGTGACAAGTCGGTGACCTTGACTAAAAAAAAATGCTTCTCTAATGTGACTCAGGAAAAATATTAGAAATTGTCTGCTTTTTCTTCTGTTGTGTCCAAAGTTCGTCACAGTGGGACTACATCAGCGATGAGGACAGAGAGCGTCTGAGTCACCGCTCAGAAGATGGAGAGTTTTGGTAAAGATCCGTCGCCTGTGACCACCTCGTCCGTCATCGATGGCCATCGTGTCACTTGTTACCCTTCTTCTCGTGTCTTCCTCGCAGGATGTCATTCACAGACTTCCTGCAACAGTACTCGAAGGTCGAGATCTGCAACCTGACTCCAGATGCACTGAATGATGACACCGTTACCAAGTGGGCGTTGGCCAAGTATGAGGGCAGCTGGAGGCGGGGCTCTACAGCAGGAGGATGCAGGAATTACCCCGGTGAGTGTTTCTGCCCAGCTGAAGCCCAGTCTGCTACACCTGGTCAGGAGAGGCTTTGGAACTCAAGGCAAAGTGTCATGAAGAAATCTGACTTTCCACAGTGTTTAAAGACAGAAATGCGACAGGGCGATGTTTTCTCCCTTTCACCTTCAAAGAGCACTTTTGTCCAAATGCAAAAAAAGTCTGAACAAATTGGTGGAATTGGTTTTTTTGTCCAAATGCAAAAAAAGTCTGAAGTGACTTGAGTGAAGGAAGACAACCATTGCAGTTGATGCTTTCTGTAACCACAGACACATTCTGGACAAACCCACAGTTTGTGATTCGACTGGACGATGAGGACGACGACCCTGATGACAACGAGGCTGGCTGCAGCTTCATAGTGGGTCTGATCCAGAAGAACCGCAGATGTATGAGGAAGATGGGCGAGGACATGCACACCATCGGCTTCGCCATCTATGAGGTAAAGTCTTGAGCAGGGAGGTCTATGGTACTGTGTAGAAACATCAAAATCAAAAGTGGTTCCAGTTTAAAGCTTTGAGTGAAGTTTAATCCAGGCATGGGCAAACTACGGCCTAGGGGCCGGATGCGGCCCGTTTGGCTTTTTAATCTGACCCGTCAAACTTCTAAATTATGTTATTGATTTCTATCATTTTACTTCTGCCTGTTCCCTGCAGTACCTGCATTTCCTCAATTGATGGGGTAGAAAAGACTAAAAGCATTTTAGTATTAAATTTTGTGTTCCTAAGAAACAGAAAATTCCTAAGGTTGAAATGACATGGTTCTGATTGTTGCTTTTTGTCTGTTTCAGGTTCCTGAGGAGGTATGAACACCTGTACTGCCCCTCTGTCACTGGTTCTGCCCCAACTTCAGTTGTGGCCGGCCTTAATCTGTGTTTGATCTCCAAGTTCTATGTTTGCATTGATAAACATCAAATGAACATGCAGCTGCATCCCTGTGTCTTCCCAGTTCCAAGGCAAGCGCAACATCCACCTTCACAAGGAATACTTCCTGTATCATGCGTCCAAAGCACGCTCGGAAACCTTCATCAATCTGCGTGAGGTCTGCAATCGCTTCTGTATGCCACCAGGGGAGTACCTGCTCGTGCCCTCCACCTTCCAACCAGACCAGAATGGAGACTTCTGCGTGAGGGTGTTTTCGGAAAAACAGGCCGAGTTCCAGTAGGTCTTGGATATAACAGCAGCACCCAGTGGCTGGCATGAGTAGCGCAGCTTTTAAAACATCTGTATTTTGTGTGTGTAGAGAATTGGATGACCCTATTGAGTCAAGAGTGGAAAAGGTAAAACTGTTTGTTCGTATTTTTACTGAAGAGATTTACACGAAGAAGAAATATGAAGGTGTAAATGATGATTCTGTGTCTTCATCAGATTGAAATTGACGAAGATGACGTTGATGATCGATTCAAGAGTTTGTTTGGTCAGCTAGCAGGAGGGGTGAGTTTTCCCTGCATCATTTTTAACACGTAGGACAAAAGGTTTAGTCACTGAACTCCCTAATTCATTTCACTAACTAACCTCCAAGGGTTAAGGATCCAAATGTGTTGAAAATTGCATTCTTAACAACTAGCAGATAAATGTAGGAAGTTTTAGTCTTTTTGATAGTTAATTTTTTAAAGTTTTTTTTATGACCAAAGAAACATTCTAGGCCCCAATCAGTGCAGTCTTGTTACTTGTTATGAATTAATTCTGTGTTTTGATGGCCTGTGTCGCAGGACTGCGAGATTAGCGCCTTTGAGCTGAAAAACATCCTCAACCGCGTAGTCACAAAACGTAAGACAAAGAAAATAGAAAAATGTATGGCGCAGCCACGCTATGACATCATCATCTAACCTGAGTGCAAATATGTGTCACAGGATCCGACATCAAGACCAGCGGCTTCAGCCTCTCGACTTGTCGCAACATGGTCAACCTTTTGGATGTATCCTTCGATCTCATAAGTAATCAGAGAGGGTAGACTCTGGAGGAAGATAAATAAGAAATAGTCAGGCTCAAAATGTTTTGTCATTTGTGGATTGCAACAGCAGAGGGAGATAAAAATCACCTGAAACATTGATTTCCTGACCACTTCTGCAGAAAGACGGCACCGGGAAACTCGGTCTGGTGGAGTTCAAAATTCTGTGGACTAAAATTGATAAATGTCTGGTAAGTGTTTGGACATGTTGCCTTAAACAAAACCATCAATGACGTAGAACAGCAGACCTCAACGTTATAAATAATCAGGGCATTTGACAAAAACTCTCACGGCAGATATTTGTGAAGTTGTTTGGTCCAACTGTCTAGATCAGGGGTGTCAAACATACGGTCCATGGGCCAAACTCGGCCTGTTAGTGAGTTCGCTCTGGTTGGCTGGATGAATTTCAAATGTAAAAAAAAAGGACACCTCAAGGCTATGATACGTTGTAAAAGGACAAACACCTCAAGGCTATGATACGTTGTAAAATTATATTTCGTTAAATATGAAGACTGTCTAATATTCTTGAACGTCTTTGCATGAAGACAAAGGGGGAAAACATGGACTTGTTGTTATTTATAGGTAATTATATCATGATTGTACTGGTCTGGTCTAATCTAATTATGCTGTATGTGGCTCCTGAACCAAAATGAGTTGGACTAGTCCAGATGATATAAATTGTCTTTCCATCTCTCACGACTCACCTTCTTGCTTTGTTTTGTCTTTTCTCCGTCCTTCATGTTGTTCTCTTCAACAGAATATCTACCGTGAGAAGGATGTGGATAATTCTGGTACAATGAGCTCCACAGAGATGAGAGAAGCTGTCGAGAAGGCAGGTGAGAATGACGTGGTGCAGATAAGACGTATGGCAGAAAGGCAGGTGTTAAAGTCTGTCCCGCGTCCACAGGCTTCAGTCTGAACAACCCTCTTCATCAGATCCTGGTGGCTCGTTACAGTGAAGCCGATCTTACCATCGACTTTGACAACTTTGTCAGCTGTTTGATTCGTCTGGAGACCATGTTTGGTGAGTCCTCCAAAACCCACAGTCCATACAAATACAGTGTAAAATACAGCCAGTCTTCACAGATACCAACATCTGTAAACACAAACATAAAATATTTCAACTGAGGTTATGAACTGATGATGTCATGTCACGTGTGCAGACACATTCAATACATTGGACAAAGATGAATCTGGAACCATTGAGCTGAACCTCCTGGCGGTAAGTCTGGTGATCGGACAGAAATAAAGCTGTTAGTCATTTGTCACTGGTGTGTCATTACTGGATCCACATGGAAAAAAAAAGATTTGTTCTTGAATAGGCAGCAGATACTGTACTTCCTGTGTCTGGCAAGCAAATGCAGATACTGTACTTCCTGTGTCTGGCACCAAAGAAGCAAAAACAACTACTGAAATTAAAAAAAAAAAAAATCTTGTTTGACTTCAGCTCTAGTTTCTGAAGATAGCACTGAGAGAACAAGCATTTCCAGTAGGGATCCGGTGGTGACTGTGACTGGGAGTCACATGTTGGAGATGATCTTTCAACTTTTGTTGTTGCAGTGGCTGAATGTGACACTCGTCTGAAGACCTTGGTCCAGGACTTGGAGACACACATGTATCTGGAGCTGCCACACTACAGGGGGAGGTGTATTAGGTTTATTCTAGTTTGAACAATTTTTTTTCCCAATATTATAAATATATGAAGTATCAACAAATAAAGCATCAATGATGACAATCTGTCCAATATTATAAATACATGAAGTATCAATAAATAAAGCATCAATGATGACAATCTGTAAGAGCAGTGAGCTTTTTATTTCTTCTAAAACAAAGAAACCTTTGAAGTCCTGTCCTCCAATCGGAGGAACCTTTGGGCGGTGCTTGTAGCCACATTCAATCACGAGTGGCTGCTGATCAGAGGCCGCAATCTCTGATGAGCAAACTGCTCCGCCCACCTTAGAGCCCCAGTGATGTCACTGCTACTTCCAGATCCCTTAGCGACCACAGCTGTGCCCCCAGCGTTCCCACTCAGGTGACCACACACTGCTGTCGCCCAGTCAGAGGCCAGGAGGGATGCCGAGCCCTGACGAGGAAAACCAGTCCAATTAGAGGCTTGACATAACCAGTGACATCACCGGCAGGTTAGTGGCAGTTACCTTAGGAACCTGACAGGCACACAGAACCTTCCCAGAATGCCTCTGGTGAGCCAGCAGTATCACATGACTGTGAGGAGAGGCTGAGCAAACATGGTTCACTGTCTTCATGAGGACCTGAAAACACACAGGTGATGTCACAGCACTACTCATACCGTCGGCCAATCAGAAAACAGCTGCAGGGAGCAGTAGCTTAGATATGTCCTCACCGACATAGAGTCTGTTTCCACGGAGTCCACCAACACATCCTTCTGACCGTTTTTCTTCAGAACAGCCTGAGCTTGGCTTGCAGCCTGAGCAAAGCATTATGGGACAACACACATTAAAGATCATGTAAACAGTTTGGGTCTACGGGTGTCCTCTAGGGTGTCTCAGTCTCCTACCTCTTTAATCTCCATTTTCCTGATGACGGTGTTGCTCTGTCTCTGCAGCACTTTGAGTTGACTCTGTAGTTCCCTTCGTTGCCACTGGGGCATGGGAGTGTTGTCCACTGCCTGACAGGGACAGAGACAAGCAATCAATTGTCCTGCTTTATCACAGAACAAACAGGGAAGTATCAGGGAATCATGGGTAATCTCCTTACATCAGACAACACTCCAACTTCCTTGGCCTGGCGCTGGGCTACGTTCAGGTCCGCCGGCGTTGACAGTGTGAGCCTGGTGGTGAGAGAATCCACGTCTTCAGACAAATCCTTCCCAGCTTCCCGAGCCTAGAAAAACATAGTTAAACGAGTGTCTCTTTCTGTCCATGACAAAACTGAAAATATGAATTTATTAACTGACCTTTGTCGCTTCTTGTCTGGTCACAGCAATGATGCGACTGATTCCTTTAACCATCTGCCTCTCTGAGGTGATGACCATGTCCTCGATAGCAGCAGTCTGAAGCAGGTGACTGAGGCGGAAAGTGATTTTTTTTTTTTTTAATGCACTAAATCCAGACTAATGAATAAAATGGAGCTAATACTAGCTCTGGTCAAACGTGTAGAGAATATTTGTTAGCAAAGACCTAAATTACTGGCTACTAATGTTAGGCTACTGTTAGCTCTGCTTTTGGACATTGGGAACGCTAACAAAGTTTGTGTGAAGATCTCACGTTCCACAGCAAAGCTCCACAGACGTCTCTGGGTCACTGGCTTTGTCCAACAGCTCAGAGACGGGGACATTCACTGCCACTACACGTACAGGGTCGGGGTACACCTGTACGGACACGTTCAATTATTACAACATTCAAACAAACACGTACACGTTTACCCAAAACGTGTGTGCTAACCTCATCCACCGTCCGCAGCCCACTGAGGTGCATAGCTGCCTGCAGTGGGAGCTCCTGGCTGTGGACCATGTGTTTGGCTGAGACAATGTCATGTACACAACGTTCAATCTGCTGCAACTGAGAGGCGCTGAGAGACTTCTGAGGACAAGGAGAACAATAACGGGTCAGCTTCACAGACAGAGAGAGAGAGAGAAAGAAAGAAAGAAAGAAAGAGAGAGAGAGTGACCTTGGTGGAGAAGTCAAAGCGAAGATAATCAGCTGACACATGGGAACCTCGCTGCTGGACAGAGGGGCCTATAACTGTCCTCAGAGCAAAGTTCAACAGGTGGGTGGTTGTGTGGTTTACCATGAGGGACAATCTGTGGACCTGAGACAAGAGAAAGAAGAAAGTCAGATGAGACAGAGGCAGGTGGGACAGAGAGA